TGTGGCCACCATTATTTTCCAGCACTGCCTTAACCCTCTTGGGCATAGAGTGCACCAGAGCTTTGCAGGTTGCCAGTGGAGTCCTCCTCTACTCCTCCATGATGATATCACAGAGCTGGTGGATGTTAGAGATCTTGTGCACCTCCACCTTCCATTTCAGGATGCCCCACAGATGCTCAATAAGGTTTAAGTCTGGAGACATGTTTGGCCAGTCCATCACCTTTACCCTCAGCTTCTTTAGCAAGGCAGTGGTCATTTTGGAGGTATGTTTGGGGTCGTGGTCATGTTGGAATACTGCCCTGAGGCCCAATCTCTGAAGGGAGGGGATCATGCTCTACTTCAGTATGTCACAGTACGTGTTGGCATTCATGGTTCCCTCAATGAACTGTAGCTCCCCAGTGCCAGCAGCACTCATGCAGGCCCAGACCATGACACTCCCACCACCATGCTTGACTGTAGGCACAGCAAACTTGTCTTTGTACTCCTCACCTAGTTGCCACCACACACGCTTGATACCATCTGAACCAAATAAATTTATCTTGGTCTCACTGGACCCAAGGACATGGTTCCAGAAATCCATGTCCTTAGTCTGCTTGTCTACAGCAAGCTGTATGCGGGTTTTATTGGGCATCATCTTTAGAAGAGGCTTTCTTCTGGAATGATAGCCCTGGAGACCAATTTGATGCAGTATGTGGCGTACAGTCTGAGCACTGATAGGCTGACCCCCTCACCCCTTCAACCTCTGCAGCAATGCTGGCAGCACTCATACGTCTATTTCCCAAAGCCAATCTCTGGATATGACGCTGAGCACAGGCACTCAACTTCTTCGGTCGACCATAGCAAGGCCTGTTCTGAGTGGAACCTGTCCTGTTAAACTGCTGTATGGTCTCAGCTGCAGCTGTATGGTCTCGTGCTGCAGCTCAGTTTCAGGGTTTTGGCAATCTTTTTAAAGCCTAGGCCATCTTTATGTAGAGCAACAATTCATTTTTTCAGATCCTCAGATAGTTCATTACTATGAGGTACCATGTGGAACTTCCAATGACCAGTCTGACAGTATGAGACCGATAACACCTGCTCCCCCTTCACACTTGAGACTTGTGATACTAACGGGTTTCGTGACACCAGGGAGGGAAAGCGGCTACTTGGGCCCAATTTGGACATTGTCACTTGCAGGTGTACTCACTTTTGTTGCCAGCAGTTTAGACATTAATGGCTGTATGTTGCATTATTATTTTGAAGGGACAGCACATTTACACTGTTATACAAGCTGTATACTCATTGCTTTACATTGTAGCCAAGTGTCATTTCTTCAGTGTCGTCACATGAAAAGATATACTAAAATATTTATGAAATGTGAGGGGGTGTACTCACTTCTGTGACATACTGTACACTTACTGGGCTGGGCAATCTGAACATTTCTATATTCTGTACTTGGGAGATATAATTTGAACATTTTGGACTACAAATCCTTAATTTTCTATTCTGGGAGTTCAATCTGACAGACACCTACAGAAACCTAAACTAGTGCTGGGGCAGCTTGCTTTCTGGTCAGGAAGTATGAGCAGAGCTAGGCCTAGCTAGGCCCCAAAGCCTTCTGGCTTAGGCCTTTCTCCTGAGCAGCAATGTTGAGGTGTCTGTAGATGTCTGTCAGTCAGGTGGAACTCCCAGAATGGATAATTATGGTACTTGTAATCTAAAAATTCCAACTGGCATATTCCTATTGCTTACCCATTCAGAATTTGAGATAATGATCTACACTACAAACAATGTGGGTTCAAGCTATCTGAAAGACCACATCTCTCTTTATTGAGCTGCTTGGATTTGAAAATCATACTCTTGGTCCTGTCAGCCTCACAAGTTTGCTGCTCCCAAGCTACGGAACTCCCTCTCACTAGAGGCTAGGCTGGTCCCATCCTTCTGCAAGCAGGCAAACATCCTTCCCTTCAGATAGGCTTATTTTAAGATAACTGCCTGCCAGAGGATGGCTCTTATGAATAGGACTGCTGTTTTTGTTACTAATTTTTTTTAAATGCATTTAATTTGATATGTGCTTAATTCTTTTTTAATATTGTAACTATTTATTGTGTTTTAGAATTTAATATTGTTTCTTTTAATATTTAAGCTACTTTGGGTCCTCCTCAAGAGATCAGCAGGGTATAAGAATTTTAAATAATTAAATCATACTTTAGATTCTTAGCCTGAGGCTCAAGACAAATATGTACTGTACATACACAAACACACACAGATTTAGATCAATGCTGTTCAAACTTTTTGGCTTATAAGTACTGGATCTCACGTAACTCCAGTTGCAATGCTGCATGTGAGCAAATCACTCTCAAATCCTTGTGTCACAGCCACAAATGAGCCTCGTGGCACAGTGGTTAAACCGCTGTACTGCAGCCAAAACTGTGCTCATGACCTGGGGTTCAATCCCAGGCAGCCGGCTCAGGGTTGACTCAGCCTTCTATCCTTCCGAGGTTGGTAAAATGAGTACCCAGCTTGCAGGGGGGGGGCAATGTGTAGCCTGCATATTTAACTTGTAAACCACCCAGAGAATGCTTGAAGCACTATGGGGCGGTATATAAGCAGCATGCTTTGCTTTTGCTTTTTAAAGAATTAGCAAACTTGATTATGTACCCAAGGCTTTTATAGTTCCAAATTCAGCAACAACACAAGCTAAACAATGTGGAAATAAAGATACACCACACATCAAATTGTTTAAACTGTAAGCTTATATAATATAGAGTCTAATTCTGTGCATATGCGCTTGGACATTAAACCACACTGAAGTTAACTGGACTTACTCCCAGATATGTCTAATACAGACTTAGATACACTTTGCAATGTGTAAGATACACTCTATAATGCATACAGGGCTTCTAATTGCATTCTAACAAACCATGAAAGTTTCAGATCATTAGCTCAGGTAAAAATCAATATATTTCAGGAGAGAATGCTTTCACTTCTGTTATTAGATACTTTACTTACAGAAAAAGCTAAGTTTAAAACAATAGAGAGTACCATACTACACACACACACGCGCACGCACACACACACACACAGAAGCCGCTTCCTCTGAATTCTGTGGTATGGCTTGACGGGTGCATAAGATGTTCTCTAAAATGTACAACTGCATTTGAAAACAGCTGCAACTTAGCTACTCCTGAATTATATACTTTTCCTAAATGCAAGAAATATTGCTCCAACCAATCAACTGATTTTAGAATGCTGAAAACAAGGACTGCAAGCACCTGAAAAGATAGCTGTAGCTTATAAGCTATACAGTACCTCCAAATGCCTTTAATCACTGTAACTAGACATCCAGTTTAAGCCAACTAGTTTAAGACAGTTTAAGCATGAGTATGACTTAAAACAGTGGTTCTTAACCTTGTGTTACTCAGGTGCTTTTGGACTGCAACTCCCAGAAACCTTCACCACCAGCTGTGCTGGCTAGGGTTTCTGGGAGTTGCAGTTCAAAAACACCTGAGTAACCAAAGGTTAAGAACCACTGACTTAAAAAACTTTACAAAGGTTATTTACTTTCTGTTGTAGCTGTTCTTTTCCTCAACTAACCTACAGGAAAATAAAATGCCCAACTCTACACATTCACTGTGTTATGATCAAATGTCATGCTAACCTTAATGTTCTGGGCTACACATGAACAAATTACAGTAAGTGCTTTCAACAAGAGAGTTACTTATGTACTGTTCACATGTGACACACACAAGTACTGTAGTCAGATGAAGCTTGTTCTTCACATCTGCATCTTTACAAGAACTTCATAACAGCCCAAATTTCTTTGCTCAGCATACTACCACAGAGGTACTGGAAGTATATTAACTTTTCCCAATTGCTATTATTGCTTCCTTCATCAGACTATCTTAAGAAATTAATTACTATAAATGCTGTGCTCTTTTTCTATTACTCTCTGGCTTCCTCAAAAAGTATCGTATATAAAGAATCAGTACAAGACGCTGGCAGGGACAACAAGTGGAAGGGACAGGATTACAGCTCAAGACTGATACTACTTTGAATGAATTCAACTCTAGCACCTGATGAGTTCCTTCAAGAGTACTGAAGGAACTGGCTGACGAATTCTCTGAACCACTTTTTATTTTCTTGAAATCATGAATAAAATGCTCAATGACCGGAGGGGGGCTAATGTTGTACCCATCTTCAAAAAGGAGGAACCTACAGACCAGTCAGACTGACATCAATCCCAGGGAGAATCTAGAGAAGATTATAAAGTGGGCATTCTGCATGCACCTTGAAAGCAATGTAGTAATAACTAGAAGCCAATATGGATTTGTCAAGAATAAATCCGCAACCTCATTTTTTGACTGAGTAAATTCCCTGGTAGACAATGGGAATGATATACTGTAGATGTAATATACCTTCACTTCAGCAAAGTTTTTGAAAACTGTCCCATGATATTCTGATTAACAAGCTAACTATGTGTGGGTTGAGTAGAATAACTCTCAACTGGATACACAGCTAGTTACAGCATCATACTCAGAATGCTTATCAATGGTTCCTCCTCAAAACTGACATAAAATTGGGTGGAATAGCTAATACCCTGGAAGCCAGAAACAACATTTAAAAAGATCTTGATAGGCTTAGCCACTGAAAACAATAGAATAAAAATTAACAGGGATAAGCACAAAGTTCTTCACCTGGGAAGCGGGGAACACAGTTAAAGCATAGGGGATACTTGGCTCAGTAATACTACACACGAGAAGGATCTTAAAATTATTGTAGATCAAACGGGGGGGGGCAGATGTTCTTGGACTGCAATTTCCAGAAGCCTTCACCACTTGCTGTGCTAGCAAGATTTCTGGGAGCTGCAGTCCAAGAACACCTGGGGACCCAAGTTTAAGAATCATTATTGTAGATCACAAGCTGAATATAAGCCAACAGTGTGACATGGCAGTAAAAAAGGCAAATGCTATTTTAGGCTGCATTCACAGAAGTATAGTATCCAAATCCTGTAAAGTTCTAATTCCCCTCTATTCAGCATTGTTAGCCTTATCTTCAGTACTGTGTCCAATTCTGGATACCGTACTTTAAGAATGATGCAAACAAGCTGGAACAAGTTCAGAAGAGGGCAACAAGGATGATCAGGGGACTGGAGACCAAGCTCTAGGAGGAAAGACTGAAAGAACTGGACATGTTTAGCCTTGAGAAAAGAGAACTGATGCGATATAGGATAGCAGTTTTCAAATACTTGAAAAATTGTCATACAGAGGAGGGCCAGAATCTGTTCTCAATAAACCCAAAGTGTAGGATACATAATAATGGACTCAAGTTACAGGAATCCAAAATTTTGTTGACTATCAGGCAAAATTGCCTTACTGTTTAGAGCAGTATGACAACAGAACCAATTACCTTGAGAGGCGGTGAGTGCTCCAACACTGGAAGCATTCAAGAGAAAATTAGACAACTATCTGTCAGATATACTTTCATTTAGATTCCTGCATTGAGCAGGGGGTGGACTCAGTTGCCTCTTCCAATTCCATTATTCTGATATACATGCACATGTCTATAAAGGCTTTTGGAAGAATATATAATGGAGGCACTATTGCACAGAAAATATATTTAATTCTTACAGAACCAACCTTGTGAATTAGCAATGTGCTCTTTAGTGGGGAAAACAGTGGTATTGAAATTTAAATTAAACTCACATCTGCATCTATATTCCCAATGGTGAAATGATATGTATATTTACTTGGATGTACCACTGAACTCCACAGTATATATTCTGAGAAAACATCTACAAGATCAGACTGTATTTCTTCTTTTGACATCAAACATCCAGAGTACAACAGAAGTGGTCAGAGGTATATTATAGATACGCTAGTAAGTTTGAGTTCTCCTTTACATTCCTGCACACCTCACTATCCTCCCCATTTCACTTTTTCCCCAATTACCACCCAGTTCCCAGTCTATATTCGAAAAGCTTTGTGAATTCCAACTTTATCACAATAAACTTAAGAGGGGAATTACTTGGATGAGCTGCAAGTGTCAGAAATGGAATAAGAGCACATATGCCACAGTCTCTCACTTGTAACAAATACTGAGACTTCTAAAAAAATTAAGGAAGCCAGACTCAATTAACTTTATATTGAGAAATCCATGAACAAGACATTTAGATAGACATAAGTGAAAATTGGGGGCAGCATAATCCAATACACTACATATTGAGGAAGAATGGCCACATTTACACCACATTTTATGACAGGTCACCATTTACTCTCCAGAAATTTCCAAGAGGTAATTTTCAGCCTGCAGCAAATCCCAGGATATGGATTATTAAACACAACAGTTGTATTGGTAAAAGTAAATGAGGAAAAGCAAAATATTGTAGCACTTTAAAGGCTAACAGATTTATTTCAGTATGAGCTTTCTTGGATCAAAATGCACTTTTGTTAGTCTTTAAAGTGCTACAATGTTTTACCTCTCCCTGTTTTTCTTTCTCCAATACACTGAGAAAGACTAACACAGGTATATCTTTGGAAATTGCTATATAAGTATTGTTGCACCTTAAAGCTCCACAAATTTAATTTAGCATAAATTCTAAGGACTTCAGCGCCTTGAAGGGACAGAATTTAGATGAAGTGTGATAAAATATATTAGATACACCACTAGAAAACCATCAGTGACAATATTTTGAAAGATAGCAAATATATGGAGAGTAATGCAAGTTGATTCCAAACCAGAGCAGACCCCCTTGATCATAAATTATATAGCTTCATAGATGACTATTGTGGACACCTCTCTCCTATTTAAAAAAAAAAAATCTGAATCCTGGCCTAGACTTTTTGTATTACAATTACCTTTGGTCTAGCTGGGCAGGGTAGAAATCCAATAAATAAATAAAGGCTCTAAACTACTAGAGGAACAGTAACTTATTCCAGAAGTAAAGGAAAATCACAGGGAATCCCAAGTCTAGAAAAACATATACTATTCTCATTACAGGAAAGCAGCACAACCATTCAGCTGGGCACCAGCCAACTGCTCCCCACCACTAATCCAAACAAATCTACCATCAAAGGCTAAGTGAATTCTACATTGCCCCTTTCCTCCTCCCCTCCCCCAACACCACCCTGCCACAAACAGGAAGTCTCCTCATCCAGCAGACACCATCCAGCCAAATGACGCTTTGGCAAAGAGGCGGTCACATGACAGCTCACTCTCTCCTTTGGACAAACACGTTTCCAGACTCCTTCTCTACGTTTAAGAAACAGAGATCTGCCTAGGAGGAGGGGCACTGCTTATTCTTAAGCTTGCAAAAGTGTAAACGAAATAAGAAGTAGGAGGCGGAGGCAGGAGCCAATAGGAGAAAGTATGGAATACAGGCTTCCTGTGTACTTTATAAACTCACAGATTAAATATTTTGCTAATACTCTGCACCTATCCCTTCCTCTCTGTTTTTGCTATGGGGGGGCTGGGATGAAGGGGAGGCAGCACGCACAACAAGGAGGAAGTTCAGGCAAGGGCAGTTCACGCAACTTACTCGTTCACTCGTAAAAGATCAGGGGGAAAGCATGCCATTAGTGCGCTTCTTGCCCAGTCCCTTCCCACTACTACTACTACTTCATCGTCTCTGGAAGCGATGGCAAAGTGACACAGACGTCTCCATTTTGTGACACGGGCAGCCTTCGACAGTAGCAGGACCCACAAATACAGTCCTCAAAGGAACTAGGAAGGGGGGGGGAGAGGGACACAAGCAACTACGTCCCGCAACGGGATAGGGAGAAGCAAATGGAAATAGTCCAAACGACGGACCAAGCCGAAGAGAAGTCTGGAAGCTGACGTGTGGCGATTCTGGAGGGGAGAAGGTGAAAACACGCGCGGCTGGCGGGATGGAAGGGGAGAAGAGGCGAGCAAACGCCGGAGGGAGTTGCAGCTCGCCGACCCTTACCAGTTTTGTTTGTTTGTTTGTTTGTTTTTGTGGATGCTGGCCCTAACCCAGGCCGTCTCACTCACCTTGATGCACTGCGACATTACAGCCATGCCCGTCGCAGTAAACCAGCGGATTCTCGGCCCAGCCCCTCTCGTCGGAGCACACGCAGCAGCCGCCGATCATCTCCTTCATGCTATTGGAGAACTCGCCCTCCAGTGACACAGGCAGCAACAACGGCTCGCTAGAGACCATCTAAGGGTTAAAAACACCGTCAGCACTACACCACGAGAGAGACCCCCGCCGCCGCCTCAGCCTTGCCCCCACAACACTTCGCCTTCAGTCGCTCAACCACCGCCGCCGCCAGTATCGTCTCCATAGTAGGGACGTGGGACTCATGGCCGCTGGTGGTGGTGGTAGTAGTGGTGGCGGCGGCGGCGGCGGCAGCCGAGTAGTAAAGAAGGAAGCTTGTTACAAGTTCCTCCTGAGGCACCGGCCGGAACGGGCAGCGACCCGTCAGTCTTTAAAAGCTCAAAAAAAAGGGGACGGCATTCAGATTATTCGCCGCCGCCACCTGAGCTGCAACAGTCCTGCGGGCCATACGGCGATGCTTTAAAAAAAAGGAAAGGAAAAAGGAACAGCACAGGGCCTGCCACACGCAGGCGCACTCGCAACCTAGCCTCAGCAAAAGGCCCCAAGACGCGGCGGCCTCGGCTCACTCGCTCATCTTTTCCTCCTCCCCCTTCCACGCGGTGGCTCATGGGCCGGTAGTACGCGAGCCACCGCGGAATTGTGTGGCGCGCGCTACCCACTCACCGCCCCCCCCCGCCGTTGCCGTTTCCAACTGCTCCCCGTTTGGAGCTTGCGCGTGAAGGGGTAGGGAAAGAAGGGGGGGAGGGGTGACGGGTATATAGGCTTGCTCTTGAGCTGCTGGAAGCGAGTTGTGGTGAGAGTGCTTGACTAGGCCTCTGGCAGCTCTGGTCTTCTCCTTTCACACTTGTAACCTGTTTTACAAAATAAAATTACGTTTGGCTCCCGAGAGATTCCACTGTTGGTGTTTTAACCATTTGATTTCTGTTGTTACCCTTTCAGCTGATAGCACGCCTGCTCCTTCCCCAGTGAAGAGGCACATTTTCGGACAGTTTTCTGAATTTAAGGCTGGTAGTCAATAGGGCAGCTACCATCTCCCTTAGATATTCGTGGCGTTTACATTTAATATGGCCTGCATTTGTTCTGAAACAGTCAATTGCTTCTTCAGAGAATCTTTGCTTTCTCCGTTTTCATTTCTTTACACCGAGTCGGTATTTCGTACCATGCTCCAACATCTTTTAAATTTTTTCAGTTGTATTTCCTCCCCAGGCAGACTTCCTCTTTCAGTTTAGGATTCTAGAATTCTCCCTTATTCCAAAATACACTTTAAAAAAAGCTTTAACAGTTCTTTTTTCATGAGCAAATAGTGTTCTGTGGCAACTTAAAATCATATGGCTGGGGCATTAGCCTTCTAGAGTTCTCTCTCAAATGCCTTGTTATAGCAAAAAATAACAATCTAAAACGAGTTAGGGTTGGCTGTAAATTTTGCAGATTATGGCCCAACTAAAGCTGCTAGCCTTTGTATAAAACTCCTTTAGTTTTGGTAAATGGTGTTCAGACTAAAGAAGGTTTGCTATAAAAATAAGCAATTCCTGAGAGAGTTTGTTTTCATTTTGCCTTTCTCCTGTGTACATCCTCTTCCTCTGGTTGCCCTACATCTGCAGAATTTCCACTTTTGCTACTAGGTTTACGTCAGCTTGAGCAATGCGTTCACCATAGCTAGATATTATAGTGGGTAAATCCAAATGAAATAAACTTATTTATAATATACATTATATTAATTCTCCTTTTATAATGTCATTGAGTATGGCACATTCATACAACTGTATGGCAATTCCTTATACAGTACTGGAATTGAGCAAAACTGGAATAGAGCCAAGCAAACAATAAAATAGAATCCAACCATCCCTCTAAAACCAGACCATTATTTTGAATGTTCCTGTTACCTAGATCAATTTAAAAGGACATTATCTTCGATATTGATAGATAGTTGATTTGCTTTTAAGTACTGCAAAAGCAAGGGAAATAAGATTGCCAAAGTTATCAGCATACAGTATAGGAAAATCCCTAGCTTTTCAATTATCCATTGTAAGCAGGAACCACCTTAGTAGAAAGAACTAATTGTGGCTACTGTTAAAGCTGAAAGGAGATTAAATGCAGCTTTGCAAAATTCTACTCCTCTGCTTGGCCTAGGGCTTTTTTTGTGAAAGAAAAATTGGGGGAGGAATTACAAATAAAATACCACTGATTAATTTCTACAATAGTGTTAAATGACAACCAAGCTAACTTTGCACATAAGCGTGTGTATTTTTGTGACTTTATTCTATAAAGTTCATTAAATTACATTTGTTGTCCAAATGTACTTATAGATGACCTAGTTGCTTTTTTTAAGAAGTTGTAAAATAATTAGCACTATAGCTCCTTTGCAGATAAGTATGCGTTTGTGAAAAGTTGTACAGTAACAGGGGATGAGGGATGTGCAGGCCTGTTGCTCCCTTGAGATATCAGAGCCTGCAGTTTGTTTGTAGGGTATCATGGGTCAGGCTTTGCTGTCCTTTAAAGTTTGAAGTGAAATTTTCTAGATAGAGGAGGAAGGACAGGGAGAGGAGTGGTGAGTGTCATTTCCTATAGAAGGCTTAGCTAAACACTTCTAACATAACAGAGTCATTTGCCTGTTTGTGATATGCTGCTGAATATTCCTCTATATATTATATAGCAATTGTCCCTGAAAGTCTAGCTTTAACATATGTTTAAGGGTGTATTTAACATTATATATATAAACTTTACAAAAATCTGCCACTTTAAATATGTATGCAAATGTCCCAGTTTGTCAAATGGAGCAAAATGATGGCAAATGATTCTTAAAACCAAGCAGCATAAATGTACGTTTTATTGTCCTTCAGAATTCCAAAAAATATATCGCAATTGGAGGTATGTATTAATTTCTCAATGTCATGATGTCCTGAAAATCAAATTGTTTAATAAAAGCATTTCAAAGGATGAGAACCCACTTGTAACAGCTGGATTCCTATTAAATTTGAGTACTTGCTTCAAGCTGCACTCCTATACACACTTACTTGTGAGAAGCCCCATTTAATACAATGGAACTTCTGAGTAAATATGCATAGGATTTCACTGTCAGTTCTATTGACCTCAGTAGGATTAGTTCCAGTTACATCCAAATATTTCAACATGCAGCCCATCCTTAGGCATGTTTACTCAGAAATTCTCTTGCATTAAATAGATTTTACTTTAAGTTACTATATATATATATGACTTCAGCCTTAATTTGATTGTGGATCAGGGCAAAAAGTGTTATCAGGCTGTTGTTTTTTAATTACAGGTAAATAGTTAACTATTTTTTTTAAAGCAGGCTTTTGTGATTTTCGTAACAATGGCAAGATTATGGTTTAAATGAAATTCCGGTTTGTAATCAACATTTCCGGTGCATCATGGAGCTTAACTGAATTTGTATTTATTTGTATTTATTTAGGTTTAGAGGTTCCTTGTGAATTCTAAAAACCTTTTAATGGAGTAACACAAAAGCAGGGATGAAGTACATACCAATCACACCACTGAGACAGCATTCTTAAAACAAGACATTCTAGTTCTACTAAGTCCTATTTGCTTGCAACTAATAGAAATTAGGATTGGCATATAGAGACATAAAGGAATTGAAGTTTGAGGTAGGAAAAGGTAAGTTGAAGATGAGGCATAGTGGGTATGGAAAATTTAGAATTATATGTTCCTTTTAGAGATATAAGCAATATATATTCTTGACAATTGAGCATTACCAAGGTTTACGTAGTCTAGATAAAATACAGTGTTCAACTTAAAAGAACAATGGAAAAGTATTTGTTGGAATAAAACTGCACCCTATGCTTGTAAATGATTTAGAATGTTTTCTCTATTGAGCACTAACAAATTTTCACTGATTTTTAAATTACACGTTACTTATTTTTCGCATGTAATATCAATTAAATTAAAATTTAGACCATGATAATATGTAAAGTAACAACAAGTGGAAGCCGTAGTTGACGTGTTACTAAAAATTAAATTTGTTAGGAATGGATTTTATAGTACTGTATTATATACATTTCAAATAAAATTTCATTTTCTCTCTGTGAATAAATCTAAATCTCACTTTTGTCAAACATTTAATTCCACTATAATACATCATATTATTAGTAAAATATAAGCACCATGTTTTGTGAATTATATAATCCTTGTTCTCTTGAAGGAATGAAAATGCGTAGACAGAAGGACAGGCCATGATCAATACTTGATAACACTGCAGGAAACTTGATGACAAAATGTAGATAGCTTCTTGGTTGTTTTGTAAAACAATGCATCTGGAAGGAACCATTGAAATGCAAAAGAGGAAGAGAAAGGCTTCATTACAATGTAATACACATAGTAAGCTATTAACATCCATATGATATGAATGTGCAAACCTTTTACATCCCATTCCTAAACACAATGTACTTGGATCAATAGGAATTACTTTGAAGTTGCATTTTTTGAGTTGGGATGCTAAGATATTTTCATGGACATAATTACTATAAGGATTGATTTGATATGGGGAAGTACTTCTTAAAATTCACAACTTGTATAGATTTGCAAGTGGAACTATAACCATTAGAAAAGTAATGTAATTAATATATATCATACAATTAATGTATATTAATTAATAATGTAATTGATATCTTTTTAAACTGGCAAACTTTTTTTTACAAAATGGAATTTTAAATGGTAAAAATTAAGCCATCTTTTGATTCAACATGTAGGATACTTCGTTTTAGATGTCTTTTAAGCCTGCAGTCTCTTGTGCACTTACCTGGAAGTAGATCTCATGAATAGAATACAGTATGTTTTTCTGTGTAGACAAACAGGATTGCAGTTGCAGCACAATCCTACATGTCAACACAAATGTTTGTCCCATTAGATTCAATGGTACTTACTCACAGGTTTCCTTATACACTTAAAGCATCAAAAGTAATAGATGAACTAAGATGTTGATGGAAATGTCAGTGAAGTATTCTTACAGAAGTATTTTAAGTACTTTTAATTTCCTGTTATCACCTACATGTTAATATTTACAAAACAAATAGCATCTACTTAGAATTCTAATTGCCCAAACTCCAATTTCTTTGCTTACTGTGTTGTGTTGCTGATTATTTAAAAAAAGATTCAGCAACATATCCTATACATGATGGGTAAAAGAGCCTATACTGCTTAATCACCTCTTTGTCTCACATGTAATATAAATTATATCAGGTGCAATTTTCCTAATTTTTAAAGCATTAATGGTTGAAGTAAAACAAACATATAAATGTAAAACAAAAATAAACCTTCCAACCCAAACATGTCCTGTTCCAACCATGCTGAAAATAGTTAGAAGGGGCAAAAAGAGAAGAAATTGAAGAATTGTGTCAGGACTGTTTGTTTTTGAGGGGTGGGGGGTAGGAAGAGATGTTTGCCTGAAGGCATTTTAAAACAACTTTTATTATGTTCTTTAATGAAATCTCTGAACTTACTTTTTTGTCTTTTACCTCACTATGAAGAACTAAGATTTTAAAAGATAAAGGACTATACCATAAAATAGCTTCTCATGAAAAGATTTCTTAAGTATGGATGTTCATATTTGTGTTTATTTTTTTATTTGCCTTCTCAGTCTGCTGAACTTTAAAACAATATTAATAAAGATAAACATTAATGATGCTGTTTGTTTCATTCACAAAAGCATAATAGTCAGTCCACACAACGTGGTGACATTTGTATTTTTATCTAGGCAGACTGATTTATTTTAGATACTAATATATTTTAAACTACATCAAATTATATTGGCTAGATTCACCAAATTATTTATATCCATACTCATCTGTGGAATACATAAGTCTGGCTATATTTAAAAAACCTTATGCTAATAATGTTGTCAGTTCTGTATTTTATTCCTGAAGAACTCTATTTTCCTACTCATATAAGTTTCAACTAAATATACAGTACTTTTAGTTCTGTTGTTAGTGAAGTTACACCACTAAAAGTATGGTTTCTTGTTTTATTCTGTGTGCATAGAAATGAAGAATACTTTACAAATATTTCAAATCTGTAGAAATCTACTTCAGCTTTCATCTGCCTTTTGAATATACTTGTACACTGCAATTTGCATGTTCAAGGTAATATTACTTACAGGCTTTCCATACCACCTATTAATTTAAGTATAACCTTATTTAAAACTGATGACATTGTTTCAATCTCTGTTAAACTCATCATTTAAAAGCACTAATTTAACTCGGAAGTGGTTTTTAAGGCATCCATTATATTGTTTTAAATTGCACAATCACATCAGGAGGCTTTTGGCAAATGCAATTTAACTAGAAGCACCAGTGGATGAAATAGTTGTTTACCAAGAACTGCTTCTGTTACGGTAATGCTAGTATTTAATTGTTAATTCTGGCCTGAAGTTTAATGTAAACATAAAACAAGAGGTTTTCTTGCATTTAAAAAAATTATATTGACATTTCTAAATAAATAAATTATAACATGTGGTGTTACAGTAGTGTGAGTAAACACTCTTGCAGAACAGTATGTGAAGCTTTTTATTTAAGAATTCTTAACAGTCTGTATTAGAATACATACAATTAACAGCTATTTTGGTTATGTGCCTGCCCAACACCATTCTCTCCTATTAATGCTATGTTAATCTTCAGGGGAAAATAGTAAAGTCTAGATTAAATGTAATACACAGATATTCTTTACAGAAATTCAATAAAGATTTGGCATTTTGTGACTCATTCTTGTACTCCTCAATAGTATGTGCATCTGAAAGGAGACTTCCCTCTGACCCCCAACCCCCTCCACATCTCCAAAACAAAGTTGAAATGTCTGCATATATTGTGTGCAAAGTTAGAAGTTCGTCTAATTGCACATTTTGGCCCATTCCAATTCCTTCTTTAAAACCAAGGTGTTTTTATTCTACAGAAGAACGTATTTTTAATTCTTAATAAATATGTAAACTAAGCTCTCTCAATATAGCTGAGTCCTAGCAAATAAGTGCAGAGGGGGAAAATTAACTTTCCTGAGAAAAGCAATTTCTAATAGTACATGAAGCAGATCACCGGTATCAATTATATTAATTCATTTTCCTCAAAATTGTATCTATTTACAGTTTATTCTTGAAAGTAGGACCCATTCGCAAAAGCACACCCAACAATATGTTAATTAATTGTAGCGTGTCTATGAAAGGAGTAAGCAAATGCAACTATTAACAACATTCCTTGCATACTTGTTTCCCACTACAGGGCACTCGTTTTCAATTTTGTCACTTTAAAGGCACAGATGGGCAGTACTGCTTCCAGGTACTAATTTTAAATAATTAAAAAACACCAACTAATGTAAAGAAAAGCTAACATGACCACATAGGCAGAGGGTATCTTCGGAAGCTTAACATTCCAAGCGAATTAAGGGCACAAGCCTTGGATCACTTTTTGTCAGTCTCACTGTGGCACTGCAGAGTAAGAATGTGATTTTCTTTTTTCATCGGTTTCCTCTCTCTTTAAAATGTGAAGTTTAAATTACCCATTTGGCAAGAAGATTGGAGAAATGTTACTATTTTGGCCTCAAGAAATGCATGCTAGGGGGAAAAACACTTTTGATGTTTGTCTTGTCATTTTAATTTTTTTTAATTCCACAATACTGGTTTAACTTTTCAACTCTATGCTACTTTATAAAACTGTATATATTTTGAAAGCTTTTCCTCAGGATGTTGTTTCAAAAATTATTCTTATGATCCGTAAGAATCTCTGATAATCAAGGGAAAAACCAGAAGTCTCACCTTTATTTCCTCAAATTACATGTAAATAATTCTAAATTTTAACTGCACATTTTAGGAGGCTTTTTGAGCATATGAGGTTTTTCAATTTCATCTGTATTTGCGAAGAGTTCAAACACACACACACAAAGGTACTGTAGGCTTCGGTAAAATCTCCCCTCCAAAATATGGAAACACGAGTAGTAACTAATTTGTATTTTGGGATTTGGTGAAAACTCTATTAAAAACTCCTAACAATCATTTCCTCAAAAGTTTATCTGCAAAAATCATTAAATGTCTCCGTGATTTTCTCTAAAATGTAGATGCTATTCCCTCCCCCAACCATTTCCATGCCTCATTTTCTTCAAGAATCAAGACACTTGTTGGATTCCTCTCCCCTAAATTTTAGTTCTGCTTAGTTGCTTTTTCCTTCACTTAAATTACTCCAGCTTGTGCTGATTTAAAGAAGTAAATTTTTTGGAAATAATACTTAATTTTGCTTCCTCAAAACAAACATGTTCGACTGAACAGACCTTTCTGTTATACAGTACACAGAAACTGGTAACTTTATTTCTGTGAGCCTTTAGAAGGCGAAAATAAACAAAACCCACTTTTTCCCCTCCCCCTCCTTGTCTACTAAAGTTAATTATTTCAACATTTAGATTTCCTCAAGTTATTTCCTGCCAGTTTTTCCCTCCTCTTCTAGAAAGTCTCGTTCTAACAATTCGCCACCAAACAGATGTTTCCCTTTGCACCCACCGAGCTCTCTCTCTCTCGCAACCCGGGTGGGGGTCTCTACCTTCCACAGCCCCCCTGAACTCCCAACTTCATGGAGGTTCCCTCAGTAAACAACACTACAGCAAGCAAACAAACAAAAAAAGGGAGAGTTTTCCTTTTTATTTATTTACCGGGTTGTTTGCTGGAACCCCGCGAGCTGCTGAGAGAGGAGACTTAGAAACTCGCGCCGTTTCCGCAAGCGGGAAAGCTCACTCTCAAAAAGCTGCTCTCGAGTAATTCGCCCGCTTGTTTCCCGTCGCAGCTGCGGCCGGACGAAGGCGAGCCTTCGCCTAAAAAAGCGCGAAGAAGGGCAGCAGCTGCGACAGCTTCCCTCCGAACAATGGGGGCTGCTACAGAAAAAGGAGCCGCGGCTCCACTTCCTTTCCCCCTCACCCAACCCGGCCCACTCCTTTGCTGCGGCTGCCGGGCCCTGGGCGCTGGCAACTAAGTACTGCCTTCCTTCACACTGCACTTCCTGCCTGAATTGAGCCTTCAGCTCCCCGGCGGCGGCGGCAGCCGCGGCGATGCTCCCGCCCGCAATCCCTTTTCTTCCTCAGCCCTCCTCAGGCGCCCTCCCATCTCCCCCTGCGCTCCCTGCGTCCCTAATGGTTTCTTTCTGGGGCCCAACCCTCCTGATCCTGACTCCAGGCCCGCCTTGCCGGCGGAGCTAGGCCTGGCTGCCGGCTGGCTGAGCCTCCCTCAGAGGAGCAGCTTCTTCTGAGCCCTCCCGCCAGCCAGCTTAGTCCCGCACAAGCAGGCCTCTCAATTGACTCTCATTTTGTAAGCGACACCCACAAATTCATTCTTTTATCTGCTCACCCTCAACCTCTCTCATCAAGCACAACGCAACAAGAGCTTTGAGAAGGGCGGGAGTGGGATTATTGGGTTTGGCTGCTCGCCAGCTCGACTCCTCTTTTGCCACCCGAGGTCCAGGGTTCCAATTAGGCCGAGCTGCGAGGGCTCGGTGCAAAATCCCTTTGCTGCCACTGCCCTGCCAGCTGGCCCCAGTCGTGTTTACTATGGCTTCCTCGCACCTCTAGCACTACCTAGAGGAATAGCATAGTTTGTGCGCTCTTCTTCTCAAAGGCAGCGGCCTATCTTCCTTTACTGACAACCATGGTGCACTCTAGCCTGCAATCTTTCCTGAAGGGGAAAATACTTTTGTGGTGGTTGGTAGGAGGGCAATAGGCGGTAGGTCTTCAAGTCAGGCCAGAATAGTCCTGCCCTACAGAGCTTCCCCCATTCAAATCCTTACAAATAACTCTCAAAAGGACTGGATCACAGCCACAAACATATACATATTTACTTTAAAGGAATTGCACCAAAGGGGAATTAAACTGATTTACTTTTCATTCCCACGTCCTTCCAATCCAGGTACTTCAGTTTGAGGCCTTTATGGCCTGAACTTTGTTACTGCCATCACCCCCCATATTTTGCAGTAGTCTTCTCTCATTAAATCTGCCTGTTTGCTCACTGCAATGGGACTCAATAGTTAAAGCCAGTAAGCTCTAGTAAGTGAGTATAGGATTTCACCTCAAGAGAGGAATATTTCCATTTGGTGCTTTTACCACAAGACAGTAGAGCTGTGTTTCCATCCCCCACCACCTGGGGGGGGCTAATTTTTACACATATCTAGTAAGTTTGAGAAACCCATAAAGAGTCAACCACACAAGCTCTTTAATGTCGATTTAACGCTTCTTTCCTTCATTTCCCTTACACATAATTTAACCAGGAGTCTAAACAATAAGTTACAATTGGGCTTTTAAAAATACGTAAAGGTATTTGTAATATTGGGACAACAGGGTGTGGAAAATATATTGCAAGTGTTTTTGATCGTAAGGAATGCTTTCTCTGTATTTACTCATAAACCAAAATCAATACTGTTTTTTTAAAAAAATCTCATCAAGACAGTTTCCTTTTTATCTTAATTACAATTATTGTTCACAATTAAAAATGTTTTCATTTGTTTTTATAAACTGGTTTATGTTCTAACAGGTAAATCTGTTTGTAACCATACCAGTGTTCATTGTAAACTTTGCCAAACCATGGTATGTGGAAACACTGAGATGCGAATTAGGGGAAATTATAGGCTCTTAAACAGCAAGCCTGTTCACAGGCTAATTAAAAGGAAGTTCTTCCTTGCTTATTGAGAAGCAGAGCAGAGTAAACTGAATGCCTGGGACTTTCAAGAAAGACTGCATAAGACTGTAGTCTTAAACAAATTAATACCTGATGGATCTCACAGCATTTTATTGACAATAAATGTACTACTTTTGGTACTACTTTACTTCTCAGTTGTTTGAAACTATAATCTATTATGTACACTAGGGCCTATATATTCCGAAATTATCAAATAAGATTGTTATAAGATAAATAAATAATGAATGGCAACCTAAATCCTGACTCCCTTTAGATACTATTCATGTTATAGAATTTACTTCCAAATAATGTAGGTGCAATTTTAATTAAAAATCAGTTGTGTTTTTTTTGGGGGGGGGTAGCATTAACTGGCCTCTGGATCAAATTCTGTAATTATATGTGTGACATGGAGAAGAGAGGAAGTGACCATGTGAATGTATCCCATATCATCTATAGTACTTTTTTAACATATGGATAGTCAGATTAACAATATATTTTAAATATACCAAAACCAATTCTAATCCAGAATTGGTCCTAAAGGTAGATATTTTCTGGTGTAGAGAACACTTGTTGGTCATATTCAACAGGCAACAAGAACCTCCACTTCTGCATGCCATCCCACAGACAAGAATCCCAAAAAAAACCTTTTGCTGGGATCTGTTGGTCCATACAGCATTAGCCTTTTATTATGTTGGGGGGGGATCTTTTTGTTTCCTGCTTACATGGTTTGTTTGCATTCCTAGCAGAATCTCCCAGGCAAACCATATGGTAATGCCTTTACACTCATTCATGTAAAGAAAAAATGGTTGATACTAATGCCTGGTATATTAAATTTCCATCTTTTAAAAAAAGTACAACTCCACCTCACTGTTTTGGAGGATGTCTCCTGCAATCTTCCATCCCTCTACTGCATTTGGGCCCACTCCTGCTTTTTTTTAAAGCTGCAATTTTGAAGGCTGTCCCCAGAAGCAGTTCTTGCCTCCCCCTTTCTTGTTTCCTGAACAGAGTTGTAAAAACTCAGCTCATTTCTGCTCCCACTCTACAGTTTCTTCACACTATAATTTCCCAGGTTAGAAAGGTTTCAAATACAGTAAATAAGTCAGAATTGATCTAAAATACTGGTATTACACTAATATTTCAGTGATACAGAGCAAGTTGTGGAGATAAGCAAGGCCAGAAAGGGATGGTGAGAAACAAAACCCTTCACTTGGTACAGTGTTTACCTCAACTTTTACGTCATTAAAATGAAGTACTGTACCTAGAAAAGAAGTTTTTTGTTCCCACAGCCTCTCAAGATTGAAGAACTGTTTTTCACAGATAAAGGCCATCCAAATTGCAATATTCCTGTATGCTTCTAGGCATATACATAAAAATTATCCTCAGTCTCCTCACCACCAATACTTAAAATATTATTTGTAGGAAAATAGGGTGAATATAGGAATGCCATTTTTCTAGGAAGACATTTGCTAAAAGCTGAAAGATGAGGAAGCAAGTCACGCACTGACCTGCTTTTCTTGCCTCCCCACATCAGTTAGTAAGAAGAAAAGCAGAAACAAAGAATTCCAACCCATTTGCTTCGAAGGCTTGGTTTTTATGGAAAGGGGGATGGAGGAGTTCATGAAATGCTGAGTAGGAAGTGCAATGACTCATCATAATCGCAGTATTTCCCTGGGACAATTAGCATCCACTACTCATCCTCCATCTTGAAGGTGGGAGGCCTTATGAGGACTTTTAATTCTGCCATTTCACTTCGTGGGACAGGAACCCTCCTCCCCTAACACCCCTCTTTCAACTTCCCCCAACATTGTACTGTTTTAATCTCCCTGCCTGTACTTTTAGAAACCGTCCTTCTTTTTCAACCACATTACCCCGTTGGGGTCATTGCTGTTGTTGTTGTTCATAATCTTGATTTATGGCAAGCATTAGTTGTGTTCTATAAATGCAATTAATTATTGCTGTCAGAAATTATCATTAATAATCACCTTTAATAACGTGTAGACAGTCGACCAGTTCTGTACTACTTGGCTTGAAAGTTAAGCCCCACAAGTATCAGTAGGGCCATCAAGCTGCACCTATGTGGCTGCTGTATGTGATGAGTTATTGAAACCCTATTTATCATCATCATCATCATCATCCACAGATAAGGTTTCCCTTGTGAGCGGCTGCCTCCAGCGTTCACCTGGGGTGTTGCTGAGCCCTCCTCTGCCTTCCTTAAGGCTGCCTGCCAGCCTGAGCCTAGAAACCGCGCGCAAGGAAGAAGTGGGCGGGGTCGAGAAAGGGGCGATTACGAGAGGCTCGAGCTCGGCACGAGCGCGCCCATCGCAGCGGATTCTGGGTAAGCCAGTGGCCAAGCTGCTAAACAAGGAAACGGCGGGGGCGGGGGAAGAGAAGGAGGGAAGGAGGCAGGGGGGGTGAAAGGTCAGCGGCCTGGAGACCCCGCCTTCTGCGCTCTGGTGAATGAATGGAAGGCAGGCAGACCAGAGAAGCCGCCGCGGCGAGGCTGTGTGTTGTTTGCTGCAGCACCTTCCGCGCGCGGCTCTCATTCTCTACGCCTTCTTCCCTCCCTCTCGCTGCCCCCCTCTCCTTCTTTCCTTCCTTCCTTGCGGGGAAAGCAGGCAGCGAAGCATTACATTTGCGTAAGAAGAAGTTGAGGCTGCTTCTCTTCTGTCTCCTCCCCCTGCTGCTCCTGGACAATGCAGGCGAGGCGGAGGGCTATAAACATGGGGCTACGCGCCTCTCGATCCCCCCTCGCACTGCTGTGCTGCTCTGAGAAGGCCAGGCGAGGCGCATGGTTCTTGCTTCTGGGCCGGGGACATAACGCGTCGCTGAGACTTTCCCCCCTACCCCACCCCCCACTAAGGGAATAAGCTTTTTCCGAACTTCTTTTCTTGCAAGGATCGCTTGCCTTAATTCGACACAGAGACACACGCATAGGCACCCGTCGCATCTCCTGCCCGGCATAAATAAAATACACAACAAATTCGAATCTCTAGGTTTCCAAGCTGCTTCCTTAGGCGCGACGCTTCCTCAACCTCCTCCCCACAAGAAAACTCTCAGGAGCCTCTCGTCTCTTTCTCTGCCTCTCCCAGCGATCTCCAAAGAAATCGCTGGTGGAGAATAAAGTTTGTTTCCGTTCACACGAACCCCTTTCAGGCCTCTTTTCCTAGGGCGACTGCGAAATCGTTACCGAAAACATATTTTATATGTTAAACCCAACCTCTTTCTTTCATTCATCTTCATGTTGTAAAGTCATCCCTTAAAGATCGCTCAAACGCAAAGAAACTACATTCCTGCTAAACGATTTTTCAAGGTAGGGTTTAAATGTTGGCCGAGTTGCTGATCTTGTTGCCGCGGCGGTTGTTGAATTATTTTTTTGTAGCGGCCCGGTTTTTATTTAAACCGGGGAACCCTTTGGTTAATTTTTCAAAGGCACCGCTCGATGACACTTTTTTGAGAAAGTAAATAGTGGATCGAGCTCTCTTTCTCCCCCGCGCGATCCTCCCAAGTCTCCCAAATGCTTTCTCGGTGAGAAATGGAGGAAGAAAATGTGAAACGCTTCATGGGGAGAAACGGCTGTCTTTGTTCTTTCGTTGTTTCTGCCCGGAGTGGCGGCGACAGGGCTAGACACTTACCTTCTCTTCTTTTTGCTGCGAAATCCAGACGTTCCCATCGGCTGCAAAATACCCAATCCACCTCGGAAAATGACTAGAAATGTTGGGAGAGTTTGTATTCCATTCTTTTGCGCTGCCTTTCCTTTTCGGGACGAGATTAAGTTGCCGAGCACGTTGTTGCCAGCCGAACCCCCCCGCCTTAGTGAATGGTCACGTTTAGGACCCTCGAAGGCCATCCTAATTCTGCCAGTAGAATCGACGGTATTGAAGGTCTAAACTTTCAAAAGGAAAGGGGGCCTGCAACTAGCCGGGGAGCTGCAAATACACTCGCATTTCTCTCTCTCTCTCTCTCTCTCTTTCTCCCTCTCCCTCTCCCTCTCCCTCTCTCTGTCCTCCCCCCCTCCGCATTACATTAAAAAAGGAAGGAACTTTTTCCTGAGAAAGAAAGCAAGAAAGAACTCTTTACTAGTTCCGTAGAAGTGATATGTTACAAAACAAACCCAGGAGGCATTTGAAATCCGCCGCCCTTCTGATTTCGCCCCACGTGGCAAAAGTTTTTGGAGTGTTTGAAATAAAAACAAATGAGCTAGTTGTAGAATACCGGGGTGGAAAGTTTACGTTACGGTCGTAGCTCGGAGAAATGTGTCGGACAAAAAACAGGACCATCCTTTTAAAAGAGAGAGAGAGCTTTTCAAAGAGAGAGAGAGAGAACAAGAAAAGAGGAAATTGTAGTGTTGGTGTGTGCATGTATGGTGTTTTAAACGTCGTGATCAAACGTGCAAAATAAATTCATACACTGGTTTCGACGTATTCCACTTAATGTTTAGTGCCCAGCCTGGCAAGCATTAGTGCCCAAACCATTCTTTAGTCTGATTATGATGAGGTTTGATGATACAATGGATATTTGAATTGATCACTGTGTCTTACCAAATGAGATGGATTTGCAACCGCCTTTGGTTTCCAGGGCTCTCAGATATGCAAGGGGAGGGGGGGAAGGAGGCACTGATTGCCGGCCAACCCCCTCTGGGGTCTCTCAAGTATCTTTGGCTTCTGTTTGTGGCTCGACATGAGCAGTAGACTCCCCTTTGCCCAATATTTTAAGACTTCCTTCTCCCGATATTACTTGCCTTGGATCCGAGTTTTTCCTCCTAATAAGTGATGCTAAGCTTAACGGGTTTCCTTTGCTCATTAAAATCTCCTAACCCGTGCTACTGGATAAATAAACAATAGTCAAAAATTGAGGTGCACGGGTTGGAGTCTATGTGTCCTTCCTGCCCCCCTTAAGAAGCTCTCTACTTCCTCTTATCGGCCTTCTGAAAAGCTGTTCTGCTCCATCAGAAAAGAATCAAAGATTGCAATAAAATGGAGTAAATAAGTATGAGGGTTAGAAAGAGAGTGTTTCTTTGCCAGCCTTTAATTGCCATTGAACCATTCAGGAGTTGTAAACATTCCTTATTTATTTAGCCAAAATAGCCAGGCGTTGTCTTGCTTTTATCGCAATCGTAATTACGGTGTCCTTTAAACTGGTTGATAGCAAGAGAGATAAGGCCATGTGCCTGTAGCTTCAGCTCACATCTTCTTCTCCCTTGCCGCCCCCCCTTTCCTGGGTCAGGATGATCTCGACAGATCTTGGAGATGAGGAACGGTGGAAGACTAGAGGTCCGACCATTCCTTATGTCACAAAAGTGATTTGTACACATTGCTAATTTGGTGCCTTCGGATCTCCTATGTTTGTAATTGCCTTTCGTTGCTGGCTGAAATTGTTTTGTTTTTAAATGCCTTTTTTTAGGGGTGAGGAAAGAGGCAGTACTGTATATATTTTGCAATCTGGTCTAGGCGTTTGCCCACCTGTAAAGTAAGAAATGCAAGGCGTGTTCCCGCGTCTTTGTTTACTGCACCTTTGTGTCTAATTAAAAATGCACACTTTTAGGACCCTCGCAGAACAAAGCCTCCCCAAATCCCCTTTACGTCCAAGGATTTGCAAATTTATAAAGGCTGCATTGAATTCAGGATGGGTCAAGGGGCAGAAAAAGGGTAGAAGGTCACTGCATTTTGATTATGGGTCAGTGGGCAACATGGCATGCAGTTTGTGTCCGAAAAACCTTTTCCTTAAAAGTGAGGTTTAAAAACAACATGGATGAGCAAAGTTTCTAGAAGAAAAAGTGTTCATTACAGAAGGGGAAAAAAACTTATTCCATCATATCTGTTGAGCAAAAAAGAGACATACATGTAAGAAAACAAAGCTCGGAAGAGGGAAGAGCACCCTTTAACAGCACTATAAATCGCTGTTTTGCTTACAAAGAAATAGCCCCAAAGCTTGATGTTGTGCTACCACAGCTAAATAATGGATTTTGGAGTCTTTAAAAAAGCACGTTAACTGTCTTGCATATTAATATCACATTTTTAAAAGGTGTCTCTTTTTCTCATTTTTTAAAAATTATGTCCAAGGGTATTTTTTTTAAGTGAATAGTCACATCTGAATGAGTTTACATAGCTGAGGGGAGATGCTCTGTGACCCTTCCAGCAGGTTTGGGCCTTTTTGTCCTATTCTCATGCTCCCTGTAATCACTTTAGATGTACTATGGAAGGGAGGTAAGTACAGCTAATGTGCTAGCTATACAAATCTACTTTAAACTGTTATGAATTAAATGTCCCCTTCTGGAAGAAAACAACATAGGCTAACCTTCCAAGCTAAACTGCATGGAAAAGAAATTGGTTAGTAGTAGTAGTGATGATGATGATGATGAAGATGAAGATGATGATGATGAAGAATAGATTGTCCACTGTCCTGTGGAAATCTATAGGGGTGTGAAGAACTGAAGGATTTAGTGAAACAGAGGCTTAAAATGTTGTTGCATTTTACAAGTAAACCTTTAAAAGGCAGTAAATGGTGCTCTGAGTGACTTGCCCCAGAAAAGAGAGGTCAACCTGGATTGCAGGGCTGTTTAAACATCATCATGATAATACAATGAAAATATATCAAATCACAACCTAAGAGGGCGTTTTCAAATATAGCCACCACCACCCTTCCCCCCTTCTCTCTCTCTTTCTCTCTCTCTCATATGCACACCTTCCCCCACTCCTAGGGAAAAAAAAGAGATTTGAGAGAAATTCTACTTATTTTAAAGGCCACAAGGTAAAAACAGCTATGCTATGTGACATCCATGGGAATAGGTTTACAGCAAGGGAGTGAGGAATATTATTTGTCCTCGTTATTTTCTAATTAGGTTTGTTGTTAGCCAAGAGTGCTTCAGACTGAAATATCATCTAAGGCAAAGAAATCCTATCTAAGGTAGGATATACATTACAGGCAGAGGCTACTCCATGGGAAAAGGAGCACATTTGATTGATAATGGATTGTGGGGGGTGGCTAGTTCCTATTCACAGGCCCCTTGAAGTAGCCTGCAGAAGCCAAACCCGGTTCAGTCCCTCTGATCTTGATTTTTGCTTTTGTTGTTATTACTTTCCATTAATTTCACTGGTTTTCATTCACCTTTGTTTGCAGCCATGGTGTTCTTTCCGTCAATTCCGAAATCAACGTCGGCTTCAATTCTAGCATTTCCACTTCACTGTCTTCTAGGACGTGGTTAGAAAACCGTTCAAAACCAGGTGCTTTCTCCGCCTTCCCGCCACCCCCCACCCCTAGTTTAACTGGTGTCCGGAGCCACCGGTAGCTTGATCTGAGATGGAAGGAGCAGGCCAAATGTCACGTTTTCGGTCCTGTAAGGACCAAGCAGGAGGCCGAACTCCGTGAAGAAATTGCACGCTGTTACCCTGCACCGCGTGTTATTCCTAAATCTTTCAGCAGGATTTATACACAAGCCGAGACCCACCTCCTATCTGGAAATAAGTCCCAGTGGTTTAGGACTTGTTTCCCGGCAAACCGCCTAGGACAGGAGCAATAAAAAGCCCAAGGCAGGTCGTGTTAACTTGCAAGTACTTCTCATGCTTTACACACAGAGCTTATTCCCAGGAAAAGGTGGCTAGGTCTTCAAGTCGACTTAGCTGAGAGAGTCGGTGACTGTAACACAGCGAAGAAAATGCGCTACCTTTGCTTTTCCTCTATGACTTGGTAGCTGTCTGTTATTCTCACTCAGAGGGCGGAAGCAAATTCTGGCCTAACTTTAAATGCTGCTGAGAATAGACACCTTAGTTGGACACACGTTGATCGGGATATTATTTTTTTTTTAATAGACTGGTGGGGGTGGGGGTGGGTGGGTGTAGCAGGATTCGCGTTAATAATCTCGACCGTTGCTAGGTATTGATCGCGCCCATCTCTGAAACACATGCAAATCCACTGGACGTCCCGGCCTTTATTTGCTGGAGCAGGGCCTCACCGAGTAGTAGTAGCAGTAGTTGATGTTTTAGAAAGCTCGACTGCCGAACTGCTAAAACGAGATTGGGCATATTTATAATGTTTTGATGCTGGTAAGAAAACCAGCAGGTTTATCTCTCCCCCCCCCCCCCCTNCATCCCAAAGGAAGATAAGGAGAGGTTCAAGGAACAAAAGGCTGCTGGAAGAATTTGAAGCAAGAATCTTGCCCAGCTTCAGACCTGCCTTTCCCCTTTGTGTTTAACGCGTTTCTATAAAATTTCTGGCTTTGCTTATGCTTGTGTACTCGTTCATTCATTCATTCATTCACTACTTATTCTTCCCCTCCCCCGTCTCTCTCTCTCTCTCTCTCTCTCTTACAACCCCCACATCCTGCAGTTGCTGACTTATATTTAAAGAAGTTAAGGTTCTAGTTTTGTAGAAATCTGGGGTAAATCCAGTTGTCAGTTCTGACTAAAGCATACTTACTGGATGAATGGGACTTGTCAAGCCAAAATTTAATGGGTCTACTCTAACTGAACCCATTAATTGGCTTTCTCTCTCTTCCTGTGAGGCAATCTAAAACTTTCTCTTTTTAAAAAGAGAAAGTTCCCTTTTTCTCTCTTTTCTTCTTTTTGGCCTGTTTTAAGGTCCATGTGTAAAGCAAATAAAAACCATAAAGGCTTTCTCTGAAAACCAAGAATGCTGACCATGGTATTCAGATGTGTGTCAGTCTGTGCCCCCTTTTTTTCCTGAGTAGTCCACTGCTGTTAAGAGAAAATGCTGGTAGCTTGCCTCTCGTGTTAATCAGAATTTGCGCTATACCGGATCAAACCACGATTTTAGAACTCAGCTTTAGGAAACAGACAAACAGTCAACCAGCCTGGGAAGACAGAACTTTAAACCTAAGGCCTCAGGCTGAATTTATTTTGTGGTTCTGGCTGTCACGGATTCCATCACCGTCAACCTCAAAACAGGGGACATGGAGGAGGAGTAGCAGGAGTGGAGATGGGGTGCGTGGGGGCGTGGGAGGAACTGCTGCCATCCTAGAACTAGAAGAGGGAGAACAGAAGATTCTGCAAATATCCCCATCGCTTAATCCGAGAAAACCTGATAGGATCCTTTCCCTCTCGCTAAGAACAAAGCCAACAATGGTAATTAAAACAAATAAACAAACAAAAACCCTGGCAGCTGTTTTTCCTCGAAACTTCGCTCCGTAATCGGAGGCTACGTCTCCTGTGCACGAGAGGGAAATAGATGTAGGCGAGGCTCGCCAGATGCGGGGCCGAACTATGGCTGTGAGCAGGCGTTCATTCATTGTTCGCCACCGCCTTTCGGATACGTTGAAAGAGCCCTGGTATCAGCCGACGCAGGACACCCTGCTCTCCCTCGGCCTCTCGTTTCAGGCCAGAGGCACACAGGCCGACAGTTTTCGCAGCTGCTGGCTTCACGACGAAAAATCGGCCCTACAGCTCCAAGGAAAAGAGTCGCCCCATTAAGTTGCAGAGTTCAATATATCTGGGTGCAACAGCTGAGCTGACTTTTATTCGCCCCAACGTTAGTCTGATTGGATTGAATAGACTTTCCTAAAGTCCTGATGCTTCTCTTCAACACCACCCCCCTACACACACAGTTGAGTTGTCTGCAGAAGTCCTGGGAAACTGGGATGTTGAACGAATGGAAGGAAGGAGGGGGGGGTTTAAAGGAAGGAAAGATTGCCTGCATTTTACCTAGCCATGCAAAACGGCCGTGAAAATTAATTACAAAAATGTGGGGGGAAGAGAGCTGTTAGTTATTTATTTTCCAGTTCCGGTGTAATTGGAGCTCTCTTCCCCATATCAGCAAGTCTGTTTCGGGAAAGGGGGAAAGAAATAGGGCTACGGAATAGGAGGGGGGGGTTTAAAGGAAGGAAAGATTGCCTGCATTTTACCTAGCCATGCAAAACGGCCGTGAAAATTAATTACAAAAATGTGGGGGGAAGAGAGCTGTTAGTTATTTATTTTCCAGTTCCGGTGTAATTGGAGCTCTCTTCCCCATATCAGCAAGTCTGTTTCGGGAAAGGGGGAAAGAAATAGGGCTACGGAATTGGATTTACTCGTGGCCAAATTGTGGCCGAAAATCTATTAGTCCAACGGACAAGAAGAATTTGGACCGAAGCTGATGTAACTCGCATTTCAGTGGGCTTAAACCTTAGTTCAGTGTTTAGCAACCAAATAACGGATCCGAATTATCAGAGGTATTTTGACATTTTGTACCTCAGTGTCAGTAAATGTGATGTTACTTTGAATAAAGGAGACCTTAAAAGTGGGGGAGAGATAATATGTCCACCCCCTCCGGTAGGAAAGACACCCTGGCACCTTTGTTTGAGTTTTTGATTGCTGTGTGTGAGATTCCTAGTCTCTCATTTGTCCAGGACGCCACAAATACCGGAAGATTAGTAGGATGATCCCTAAGCGGGAGGCAGAGTACATTTTATGTTGAGCATGTGGTGTATGCACAGGGGCTCATCGTACGTTTGGCAAACCACGTGTGTGCAAGCCCTGAGGATTGTCCTAAACTCTACCCCAGGCTGAATTACTGGATGGTAACTCCCCAACCGAAGACACCTATAGTAGTCTGAAATTACGTCCCAGTGGGGAGGCTTTCGGTCTGGGACCGGGAGCGGAGGATGGGCAGGGTGAATCGAACCTGCAGAGTCTGCATAGGAACCTTTTCCCTGCCAGCGAAAGCTGCAGCCTGCGAGCCAGGAGCATCCATTACTATGCTCCCTCTCATTCTCTCTTCTTTTTCTCTTTCAAACGCCCCCTTCCTCTCCTTCTTCCTTCCCCAAATACCTCTGTCGGCTGTGCTGCCCAACCTCCCGAGGCTTGAAGCGATCAACACGCAAGCGATCCCGGTGTGGACACGGGAAATTAGACCGGGGACCCTCCACCTTGTAAGGCAACACGGTGAACTGTGAAAAGTGGATACAATTCTGGCTTATCTCTGCTTTGTTATGGGTCTGACGTGAGCCCACGTCCCGATCTCTCTCTTCCCCCCCTTCCTCCTCCCCCTCCTTCTCTCCTCCCCCCCCCCCATATTACAGGCAGAATTTCAGAGAAAAGTGTTACAGTATTACGGGGCTGGAGGATAACCACACAGCCCCAAAGAAACCCTAGGAGAAACAACTTAGCTATCGGAAAGAGAGAAACGAAGGAGAGGAGGGTGGGAAACGGGGGGAGAGGGAGAGAGAGAGAGAAGCTGAAAGGCGGCGAGGAGACCAAGCTAGGGAACGTGAGTATTCTCTTTCTCGGAGTCGCTAACCCGGGTGGGTGGGTGGAAGTAGCAACTGAAAACCCCAGCTTTAAAAAAACAAAACGAAACTTTAAAGCTTAAGGAAGGAAAATAGCAATTGAGGAAGCCTTCTTTGACACGCAGTGCAGAATAAAGCGCCCCTTTACAACGGTTACTTAAAATGGTTACTCTGTTCTACCCCTTTCAATTATTTTTCTATCCCTAGGATTCCTATAGCAGTGGGGAAATAGCCCCAGCCTCACCAATTTCAGCCCGGATAAGTTTCCAATCTCTATTTATTTCTAAGATATAAAGGGGGCGGGGAGGAGAGACCCAAAATGTGTCAGCAGGGCTTCCAAATCCGTTCCTTCAGTAGCCAGCGCTGTAGAGCTAGCTGTGGGTTGGCTGGGAGCTCCGGATTGTTTAATAGAAAGATTTATATACTAACAGTATTATTTACTTTGGGAGGGGAGGTGGCAGTCTAAGAGTATGCTAATTAGCCAGAGATTTGGAGGGGGGTTGGGAAGGGGGAGGAATATCAATTTTTATTGCATCACCTGTCAGGAGTGTCCAATCAGCGTTGGCTTTAGGGGAATTAATTGATGAAGGTGTCTCCGGACGAGCTCACTTCACTCTGTCATTTGATTTGGAGCGAAAGCAGCGGCGGGAAGAGCGGCTGCGTCGCTTTCCTGGTCTTCCAGCAGCAGCCCTCTTTCCTCGCATTCCTTTATCCTGGCTGGGCCAGGGGAGGAAAGCCGCCAGCCAAAGGGCGCAGGTAGCCAGCCTTGCATCCCTGCCGTCGAGAAACACCGGGGGGCAACCAAGTCGATTTTTTAGCACCCCTTTTCTTCCCCTCAGGCAATTTTACAGGACATGGTTTTTTTATCCACGCCATCTAGAGCAGTCTCCCCCTTTCCCCCGTCCCTCTTTTTTTCCTTAGTGTGTGCAGATTTTTTCCCCTTCCACCTTCCAAAGTTTGATCAGGAATAACAGGCTTTGTTCTCTTCCGTTCAGCAGGATGCCTTGAGATCAAATCCAGCGCCTGCCTGTGGATTTTTATCGCATTTTCAGTGTGGATTGCTCCTCTCTCTCTCTCTCTCTCTTCCCCCTCCTCACCTTCCGCCGCACACCTTTTCCCTTTGCTGTTGCTGCTGCCGGTGTCCGTTCCAACGGGTGTGTTTGTGGAGGGGAGGTCGCTGTCCCGTTTTCTGCTCCCCCTGCCCCAATGGTGGGAATAATTTAAAGGCGCGCCATGGGAGACCTGAAATCGGGCTTCGAAGAAGTGGACGGCGTGCGCCTGGGTTACCTGGTGATCCATGGCAAGCAGATGTTCGCCCTCTCTCAGGTCTTCACGGATCTTCTGAAGAACATCCCGCGCACGACGGTGCACAAGCGCATGGACCACCTGAAAGTCCAGAAGCATCACTGCGACCTGGAGGAGCTGCGGAAGCTCAAAGCCATCAACTCCATCGCTTTCCACGCGGCCAAATGCACCCTCATTTCCCGCGAGGACGTGGAAGCTCTCTACACCTCGTGCAAGACGGAGCGGGTCTTGAGGACTAAGCGCCGGGGGACCGCCGGCTCCGTGCAGCCTTCCCCCGGATCGGACCCTAAGGCGGCCTTTTGGAAAGACGGAGGCAAACTTTGGCTGGGTTTGAATGGAGCCACAACGCCTCTGGCCAGCCGGAGGAAAGCCTGGCGCAAGGCGGCTGCCGTGGCGGCGGCAGCGGCAGCAGCTGCAGCCGCCGAGTCAGGCGCTTTCCTACCGGCTTCGGATCTACCTCACTTTTGGAGCAAATCGCCCGGGCTCAGTTCTCCGGGACTGGCCCAATCCCCTCGCAAAGTGTCCGTAAACTATGAAACTGTCCCGCTCCGACCCCGTTACGTCTCCCTGGCCTCGGAGCCGGCTTGTTTTCGGAACCTCCTCTGCTCCAAACATCCGCATTACTACTACCGCTCGTCGGCCGCCATTGCCAGTCAACCCAAGCTGGCTGCAACCGCCGCCGCCGCTGCCGCCGCCCCCCTCCCCATTCCCCGAGGCAGCCCTTTGGGTCCTGGCTGCCGGTCCTCCAAGAGGAAGAAAACCACCGAGAGACGCTTCTCGCCGGATTGCAGCCAGCGCCTGCTGATCGTGCCCCGCTTTTGCAAGCCAGCCAAAGCCGCCTCCTTGGAGAGGCTGCCCGGCTTGAACAGCTTCTTGGCGCCGCCAGCCCACCGGCATTTCCCGGAGACCTACAGCAGTGATTCCGAATCCAGTTCCTATTCTGACCAACCGGCCAACGACTCCGATTTCTGCTCCAGTTTAACCAGCACCAGTAACTCGGGTTCTTCGGAGGAAGAGGAGGAGGAGGAGGAGGAAGAGGAAGGTAGCTGCGCCTCGGAGTCGAGCGAACTGAGCTCCGAGGAAGAGGACGACGAGGAGGACGACGAGGAGGAAGACAGCAGTTCTGAATCCGATTCAAGCACCGGTTCCAGTCAAGTGTCGGTACAGAGTATCCGCTTCAGACGCACCAGCTTCTGCAAGTCGCCCAGCCCCCTAAGTCAAGCCAACCTCTTATATCAGCATCCTTCTTTGGAGCTGCCCGGTCCGGCGCGGACCATCAAATCCGAAGCGTCTGAGGAGGAAGAGAACTGGAGCGGCCACACGGGCTGGGTTCCCAAGACCGAGCCTGGTTTGGGCTGTCACAACTCGGGCGGCGTGTGCTTCGGGGCGCTCAGCCAGGCAACGGCAGGCGGAGGCGGAGAGGACAATGGCTGGCCCTTGGCTGGACCGTGTTCCCCCACCACACCTGATGTGAAGCCTGCTGAGAGGACAGCGGGCCCCGGCTTGGCCCAGGAGGACTCGTCGCCCAACCCAAAGATAAGCCAGGCTCTGCCACAACAAAGACTCTTCCGTGAGGGGAAGAAAGTCCAGCCAGGCGTCCCCGTCTTCCCTTCCCCTTCTCCTCCTCCTCCTCCTCCTCCTCCTCCTCTTGCCAGGACAGAAAGCCCCACCGCTGCTCTTGGGGGGCTACCCAGGAAGTCCCCAGAAGATGCTCAACGGGATGACCCCTCGCCTCCCTGCCCAAGCTGGTGTTCCTCTTCCCACAGCCAGCCAGAGGAGGCGGCGGCGGCTGCTGCTGCTGCTGAAAGCTCCGAGTCTTTAGGTGCTGTCCCACTGTTCCCCTTTGTACCCATTGCCCAGATCAAAGTCGAGGACAGCAGTGCCAATACCGAGTACGGAGCCCTCCCCAGCCCCAGCCCCAGCCCTCTCAAGTGCGAAGAGCAGCCCAAGGTGGAGGCGGACGGCGAGCTGCCCCTCCGGCCGCCACGGCCGCCGCCCTTGCCCAGCCCGGCCCAGCCGCCTCAGGACCTTCTGCTGCCAGCCAAGGAAGACCCCGCCTGCACTGACGAGCCTCCCAGCCCTCCCCTGAGTCCGACGACGACGACGACGCCGGCCCCCCTGAGCCAGGCCCTCGCCGCATGCACTTTAGGCGCTGCCGTTGCTGCTGCCGCCGCCGCCGCCGCCGCCGCCACACCCGAGGACGGGGAATACAAATTCGGAGCCCGGGTGAGGAAGAACTACCGGACTTTGGTGCTGGGCAAACGAGCCATCCTGCCCAGCCCGGCGCCCCTTAAACCAAATCTGAAATCTGTGCGGGGTCCCCGGCCTACCGCCCCGGGGAAGCTCTTGGAGGCCCAGGAAGGGACCCTGGATGACTTGACGGTGCTCGGGCGGCGCAAAAGGGTGGCCGGCAGCGTGGCCTCGGCTGTCAAGCGGCCCTTTAGCTTCATGGGCAACTTCCCCTGCCCGCCCTCTTTAGTGGTTGGTTTGGACGGGGATTTGTTGCCAGCTTATACTTTAAACACCGCTAAGGATGCTCAGCCACCTCCCAAGGCCCATCCTGTCTGGAAATGGCAGCTGGGCGGGTCAGCAATACCTCTTCCACCCAGCCACAAATTCAGGAAATTTAATTCATGAAAGAGATCTGAATAGGAGGGAACCTTACTTCATGGCTATTGAGTCCTTGGGATTTTTCTTTCCTCACCACCACCAGATTCTGTACGTTTGAGCCTGTAGGCTGGCTGGTTTTACTCATCACATCTTTTCCCCACTTCTTTTTAATTTAAATGTGGAATCCTGGTTTATACTCTTTTGGGGGAAGACAAATAATTTGATTACTATTTTATTTGCCATGAAAGGAGTTGGTGGGAAAAGACAGAAGATGGGTGGGGAGAGGTCTTACAATCCACAGACTACTGCAGGATAAAGTCTCAAGTCTGTTTAAAAAACAACAAAACAAAACACACCTCAGTGGAATCTGCTAAAACTGGAACACTTTACTGTCTCAAAATGCTAATAATACACCTGGTACCTCAATTCAACTGCTACAAGTAAATGTTTTTTTAAGTTGAATTATAATTCGAATGAGCCAATAATATGTAATGCACTAGATTTGGAACCTGGAAGTCTAACTGTTCAATTCCATTCTTGTTCCTTCAGCTAGAGGTTGCACAGGGGAATTTCGCTAGATCATTCAGCTATAGGGGAGCCATCCACTTCTTTGCATGGAGTTTCTTCAGTTAGAACCCTCCAACCCCCAATCCAGCCACCCACCTCTTTCAGCAAAAACAGTTGCACTCCTGTAGTTGGCAGAGGGGGTGTGTCTCCAGAGCAATACTAGGGAAGTAGCTTCATCATCAGCAAATCAATAGATGTGGATTGAAAGCTGCTTCTGTGTTTTAAGGGCAATAGAGAAAAGTCTCTGAAAGCAAAAGGAACAGGAAGAAGCCACTCTTTACAAAGCCAGTGGATAGGGAGGAGACAAATGCTTTCCACGAAACCTTTAGTTAGCCACCTACATCATACTTGGCTACTGTCTTAAATCCAGCCTGCATTGCAGGCCAGTCCTGTTCACTTTTACTTGAAAAGCTCCTTAAATTCAGTGTGATCCCCCCCTCCCCAAGTAAGTAATGTATAAGAATTGTGCCCTTAAAATAATTAAGATTATTGTGGAGCAAGGTGTAGACTGTTTCATAATTCTGTTGGCTTTTGGTACTGGGAGAATGTCTGACAAAAGATGGTTTCCCCAGATTGGTAAGGCAGACAAATCTTTGATTCTCATTCCCCCTTTGGAGGCAATTAAAAGAAAATGTAGCTGAATCCAACATACTAAATGCAACAGGGGCTCCAGTAGAAGGAATATTTTCGGTGGAGAATATACGATATTCTTGGTGGCTGCTTTGGTACCAAAACTCAGGCATTTAAACCAGGACGTGTCACTGTTTCTATTCATCTTTGGAAACTTGTTTTCCCAACCTATCTTTGTAGCAGGAACATTTTACTGCACGTGACAATCAGAGGCAATTGTCTGTATTTGCACTTAAAACTCGACATAGTTGAAGCAGGCAGACTTCTAGAGTCGAGCCTTTGGTAAGACATGCCAGTGTAATATGTTGTGATGTTGGAAGCAGTAAATCAAAATGATGGAAATTTGCACTGTTGGAAAAAGCATGCTTTAGCTTTATTTTCAATTAAAACACTGTTTTAAAAAAAGATATAATATCATATACTTATTGCAGGATTATCCATTGTTTCTTACTTTTCAGGGTGTGTGTGACTGGACAGAATTATGTTTTTCAGAGGTTAATTGTGGTTTTTTATAAAACTCTGATAAAAACAAACTTGAGGTAGTTGTTAATGCTGTTTGATTTGGGGGGGGGGAGTGGGGAAGAGAAACAGTTAAACAGAACTGCCAGAAAGTTTAGGGGTTGAGAACATGTTATAACCGATTTACTGAATCAGCACTTCAACACAGTTGAATTGTTGACTCCTGGCTTGTTCTTCTTCCACCCATTTTTAAAATTTAAGAACAGACCCTATTTCAAAATTAATATTCTCAAGGATTTAATCTACTCAGCAGTTTCAGGAGAATAATTTATCCCAAATCACAACACAAAACAAAACAACGATGAAATGTTTCAGAGTCAACATTTTCTTATCACAATGCTCTGGTTATGTTGCTGTTGCTTAAAATCTTTAAATTCTTGCTGATGGTGACAAACACCCAATGTTTTGCCCTTAAATTAAGTGTAATATTGATTATTTATTTATTTAAATATTTATTGGTCAAACTCACCCACTACAGAAGAAAGAGAGAATGAGGGAAATGGACACATGGGTGATTGTTATAATGGTTTTCATCTCCTTATGGAAGGCCTACAGGAGACAAGCATTTTTAGAAACTACATCCTTCACCTGCTATCCCTAAATTTTCTGATCTCACTCTACTGCCTTAGTGCCTTGCATGTTTAAACTGTTCTGGTCTTGGAAAGGTGGAGAGCAGAGAATGATTACGGGTGAGATTGTTTTGGAAAAAATGTTGGTAGGGCCTGCTTCTCTATGACTGTACTACATATGGCTTTATGACACTCTGATAGGCAACATTCAGTCTGTGTAAGTCTCCCAGCTTTAGGTACCTTTGCACTGGCTTGTTAAGCAGGTGGTGGTGGGCAGAAGGTTGCAGGCCATCTTCCTTCACTTGACAAAATAGGCCTGCCATAAGAAGCAGGGTTCTTGAGACCTGTTCTCTTCGCCCCACCCCCCCCACCCCGCATCCCGTGCTGATTCTGAAGGGGCTTTGTCCACTTGAGCCCCACCGACTTGGAAGCCAGAGTTGTCTTCTTTGGGCTCCCCACCCCTCACTGAAAATGTTAGGGAGAACAAATGAAGACTTTTCAACCCTACAATGTTCAAAACCCAAACCAAAATAAAAGTGCAGTCATGTTGTAAACTGATTTCTTGGGGCTCGAAAAGACTCGCTTGCCCTTTCCGGGGGAGGGGGGGAACAGGAATGAAAATCTTGAGCGAAAGACTTTTGTAGAGCCTAGCTTTTTGACCCTCTTCTCCCCTCCCCCACCCCAAATCCCCCACACACACCCCACACAAATACACACACACATCTCGACAGCCGAGTCCATTCTCCTTTCATACAAATCATGGAAGGAGATCTTGCATATTTGGTTTAGCAGAAAAAAGCTGTCCGGGTTTTCACCCTGCCCCTGCCATGCCAGGAAAAAGGGGAAGAGCCTGGAATCCTGCTAGGTGTTTCCTATGTTCTATTTAACAATTCCTCCTGGTCACTTGGATGGATTCTTGTAGGACTAGGCTTGATAGGAAATCTCTAACGCCACACCCCTGTCCCCTTGGTCCATAGCAATCCTATTGACTTTTATTGCTTTAATCTGGAGGGTTTTAGGGTGCAGCACCGATGTTAAGGAATGCTTGTTTGTTTTCTCTGTCGTGTGATAAGTTTTTCGGTAGACACGTTTAATTGTTTGAGATGAGTGAAGGAGAAATTCTGTTTCTCGTTTGAGGCACTCCCGTAGCTTTCCCAGTTCTTGGGTCTGAAGCAAACAAATAAATAAACAAAAACCCATCCTCCCTAGTAAGGGAAGAAGATAAACAAAACACACTCAAGGCAAAGATGACTCTTGTTTGTTTGAAGCTTACATCAGGGGTATTGCTGGGTCGAGGAGAAATGTTCTCCCCACTCCTGAAGACAAAGGAAATGTTAGACTATATATCTGGCATTCAAAGGAGAACATGTGTAAATGTCTTTCAGCAAAACCAGGTCTATTGCCTTCAGCGATGTAACACGAAGTTTACAGCCCCTTTACTTTGAAAAGCGATTGACTCTAGAAGTCTACTCTTGCTTAACTACGGTGGCGAAATAAAATAAATTTTAAAATGCCACTCCTGCTTGTTTTATTGCTGCACTTTCCTGTACAGCAATAAAGGAAAGTAGTGATAGCTGTGGTATGCTATTCCATCATGCTCTTGGTGATTAATAAAAGGAAGGGGGGGAAACCCAACAAGAACTCCGAACTGATGCTTTCTAACCTCCCGCCCCAAATCAGATTTAGTTCCCAATAAATGGAAGTTGTGCAGAAAGATGAGGCCGGCGCTCGTGTTTTGGTTTCACTTTACACGCGCGAGTTTTCCGGAGTGTTGTGCTCAAAAGTAGCCTTTTGCGAACACAGATACAACACAGGAAGCACTCGCTGCTCGCTGTGGTTTTTTTACGGTTAAGACGTTTGCGTTGGGGGGGGTGGAGAAAAGGAAAGAAAAGTTCATGATTCAACTGCAAATCCGTTGGGGTGGCAGAAACTTTCTTTTAAGGGTAGAAGTTTGTGAGCCATTTTCCCTCCTAAAAGCAGCAGGACAAGGGGCGGGAATCTACCTTACTAAATCGCCCTTGCAAACATCAGGCGCTGGCAAAATCTCCTCCTAGGGATTCCAGCAACAAGCATGTTTAAACAAAAACGGGGTGACGGGGGGGGAGAGGGGGAATCATTGGCTTTCTTCGTTTTGGCTGAAGCAAAGATTTTATCCCTCCTCCCCTTAATTATTAAATGCATTTCCCAAGGACCTACAGGCAGAATACATGATAAAGCATTGGTTATGTAAGTGCTCGAATAGGTCCATATCCACTCGCCTGTGTGTGTGTATATATGTGTGTGTGTGTATTACACACACACACACACACACGTATGATTTACCACATTGTACGCTGTAATTTGTGTGTGTGTCTATTCTGATATAATTATTTGCGTTGCCCTGGCTTCCCCCTCCCTCTTCTTCTCTCCCTCTCCTTTTCAATCTGAGGCGGCCTCACAAGCCCCAGCGTTAAAAGGCCCGAGATGTTTTGCATGAAGCTCTCACAATAGGGGTTGAGAGAATTGACAGTTTCAAAAACAAGGCGCTCTGTCCTTTCCAGATGCCGAGACCACCTCCCTCCTCCTCCTCCTCCTCCTCCTCCTTCACCTTCTTTCCCTGCTGGTGGCTTTAGGGTGCATTGCAAATATATGGCAACAGCTGTGTTTGTAAATAGGGGTGGTGGGGTGCGAATTTGGTGGGAGTCGCAATGCTGCTTTTATTTATTTCTTTGCTTTGGAAAAGTATCTGTGTATGGAGAGGTGGAGAAAATTTTCTGTTTCCTATAGGAAGAAATAAACAGGAAATGGGGCTCTCGTACTTTAGGAGGGTGCGATTATCCTGCTGGCCTCAGAGGATTCAGGGGGACTTGAGGTGGGGAGAGAGAGAGAGAACCTAGCTCGCCGTCTGCCAGCAGCAGTAGCCTCCAGTTTCCCCTGGTCGCCATCTTGCCGGCTTGAAAACAAACTCATTGTGGTTTTTCGCCCTGCCCGGCCTCTCCTTGTGTCTCCTGCCTTTCTCTTCCTCTTTTCTTTCTCTCTCTCGCCCCTGAATGTGTTACCAACTCATTAGGCGAAGCGGAAGGGCCTCTCTGAGGAGTCGGCCCAGAGATCCACTTCAAGGTGGCCTTTCTGTGGCAAAGGAAAGGCCCCGATATAGCTGTGCTGGGGGGGGGGGGGGGAGAGAGGCTTTCGGCCCACTTAGGCCGGGACTCTCCAGCATCCACTCCCCACAAGGCTCTCCCTTTTGTTTCCTTCCCCCCCCCATCTCCAGCTCCTCCAAAGCAGTTCAGGTTGCCTCAAGCCCCCCCCCACACACACACATCGTTCTTTTCCGGGTCAACCACAGACTAAAGGGGCTCTGAAATGCAGTGTCCCATTTCTGGGTCCGGCCTCCTGGCTCTCTTTTCCTTCCCCTTCTTTGATGCAGATTGTAAGCGGAGCAAGTGGAAAGTGTGTGCGTGCGTGCACGCCTGTGTGCGGGGGAAGCCCCTAAATAGACACCAGGCGAGTTAGTTCTGAATCGGACTCCTGCACTGTGCTGATCAATAAGGAATCCAATCCATACAAACAGGGCAAAAAAAAAATCTTTCTTTTAAGGCTGCAGGATTGTATTTCTTGACTATTAGGCATCCAGGCTTCTAGCCAGAGGTGTCCCGGGCCTATTTTCAAGGCAAGGCTTCCCCATGTTGAATAACCACCACCAGCTCGCCCAGATCCAGGCAAGGCTTCCGGGTCAAAGGGCGGCTTTTACCCGGCACCTCGGATGTGAGAAATGAACCACTTTTTTTCAAGCCTTGGGTTGGCTTGATTGTTCATTTTTTTAAAAAGAGGGAGTGTTCTCTCACACAAACACTCAGCAATTTTGAACTGATCCCAGATAAACTGAAATGTTTATGTGTGGAAGAAGCGTGGGGGAGGGGGAGGGAGAAAGGGGAGACAAGACAAGCCAACCCAGAGGGTCAGTTGTGGCGACAGCTTTCGCTGAAAAACTGCACCTTGGTTGTTTACTCTGGTGTTTGAAAATGCACTGGGAGGTTATAAAGTGTGTGAAATTACTCACTGGTCTCTTAAAGAGTGCCTAATTTCTAGTAAATAGCCGGGCCTTTGTCAATGGCTTTATTATGTTGTTTCTTGTTAATTGTTGAGAAAATCCCCATTGTGGCGTGTGAATAGCTTTATGAGCTAACCTGGTCAGTGGCTCAATAAGGAGGCAGTAAATGGCCGCCTCGTTTAAAAGAGCCAAGGCTGGGATCGGCCAGAGACGAAAAGCAGGGAAGGAGGCGCTTGGAAGACCTGTTTTCCTTGTGCACTTTCCCCCGAGGTGCGATTTCTTCCCCAAG